GGTAGCTGGAACTACAGGTGCGCACCAGCATGCCTGGCTGATCTTTGTATTTTTTGTAGAGACTAGGTTTTGCCATGTTTCCCAGGCTGGTCTCGAACTCCTGGGCTCAAGTGATCAGACTGCCTTCAGCCTCCCAAAGTACTGGGATTACAAGTCTGAGCAGCCACCACGCCCGGCCACATTCTCTCAGTTTTGAAAAGAAGATTTTCTTCAGACTACTATGACAAAAGGCTACGTGATCCTTCTCCTGTCTACTTTGCTTTCACATCTGTATCTATTGGAATTGTTCCAGAAAAGATTATGTATGAATAAATCTGCTTACAAACATTTTGTTTTTAGACAGAATCTTACTCTGTCGCCCAGGCTGGAGTTGCAGTGGCATGATCCCAGATCACTGCAGCCTCCGCCTCCCAGGTTCAAGCAATTCTCCTGCCTCAGCCTCCCCGGTAGCTGGGATTATAAGTGTGTGCCACCATGTCTAGCTAATTTTTGTATTTTTAGTACAGATAAGGTTTCACCATGTTGGCCAGGCTGGTCTTGAACTCCTGACCTCAGGTGATCCGCCTGCCTTGGCCTCCCAATACAAACTCTTTTTCAGCATGATGGTTCTCAACTTTGAAAATTTTGCCTCTACACTTTCACAGGTGCATCACTTCTATCAGTAGCAACTCTCATATATTGAGATCCTCAAATGGGAGAAGGTAAGGGAAAGTGAAAAAGACCCATTTCCCAAGAGATTCTGATACATTTTTCTTCCTCCTCCTCTTCCTCTCCTTCCAGGAGAATCACTGGCCTATGTGATTTCAAGCGCGTAATCTCACCTATCACTAAGGTGCTAATGAGTCCCAAATCATAATACTTACCGTGCCTTTTCTGTATGACATTTCCAGCTGTTAGACATCCCCCCTCCCCGCCGAGATGGAGTCTTGCTCTGTTGCCCAGGCTGGAGTGCAGTGGCACAATCTCAGCTCACTGCAACCTCTGCCTTCCAGGTTCAAGCGATTCTTCTGTATCTCTGGAGTAACCGGAATTATAGGTACACGCCACCACGCCCATCCAATTTTTGTATTTTTAGTAGAGATTGGGGTTTCACCATGTTGGCCAGGCTGGTCTCGAACTCCTGACCTCAGGTGATCTGCCAGCCTTGGCCTCCCAAAGTGTTGGGATCACAGGCACGAGCCACCACACCCGGCTTTTTTTTTTTCTTTTTTGATACGGAAGTCTTGCTCTGTTGCCCGGGCTGGAGTGCAGTGGCCGGATCTCAACTCACTGCAAGCTCCGCCTCCCGGGTTTACGCCATTCTCCTGCCTCAGCCTCCCGAGTAGCTGGGACTACAGGCGCCCGCCACCTCGCCCGGCTAGTTTTTTGTATTTTTAGTAGAGACGGGGTTTCACCGTGTTAGCCAGGATGGTCTCGATCTCCTGACCTCGTGATCCGCCCGTCTCGGCCTCCCAAAGTGCTGGGATTACAGGCTTGAGCCACCGCGCCCGGCCCTTTTTTTTTTTTTTCTTTTCTTTTCTTTTCTTTCTGAGATGGAATCTTGCCCTGTCACCCAGGCTGGAGTGCAATGGTGTGATCTCGGCTCACTGCAACCTCCGCTTCCTGGGTTCAAGCAATTCTCCTGCCTCAGCCTCCCGAGTAGTGGGAATACAGGTGCGCACCACCACGCCCAGCTAATTTTTTTGTATTTTTAGTAGAGACGGGGTTTCACCATGTTGGTCAGGCTGGTCTTGAACTCCTGCCCTCGTGATCCGCCTGCCTCGGCCTCCCAAAGTGCTGGGATTACCACCCCCGGCCGCTGTTAGACATCTTTATCTGGATGTCCTACAGATAACTCAACATGACTTCACTGGTTCTCCATTGCAGTTAAAGCCTGACTATCCTTGATAGCTAGAAACATGAAAATCATCTTTAACAAACTGGGAATTTCATTAATTCAACAGGTACTCTTTTATTACTTGCCATTCTGCTAGGCCTGCTGAGAGCGAGGGATACAGTGAGTGCTGGGGAACAGAACGGAGATGGTCCTAGTCTTTATGGAGAACCATTGGGTGGTCCATTGGGTGAGATGGACATTTCTCCAGGATTCCCACAAAAATGGAATCATGAACTTCAAGAAGAGGTCATGTAGGGAAAGGACACAATGGGGTAAAAGTATGTAACAGAAGGCCTGACTTAGTGGGAAGAGAAGGTGGACAGGGGAGACTCAAAATGACTTAAGCAAAATATCAAAGAACAGCTAAGTGAAAGTAGAATATTGAGGAAAGAGTATTCCCTGCAGAAGCCCCGTGGTTCTTTTTGTTGTTGTTGTTGTTTTCAATTTATAGTTTGTCCTGTTCACATTATGCAGAATTTCAACGTCATTTATCCACAACGTTAGTACGGTAACAGAAACAAAAAGGAGGGTGGGGGGAGGTTCATAGTGTGACCTGACATAGTCTAAGGGCTCTCTCCTGTAGTATGCATCTCCTGCAGGCAAGTATTAATATCACTTCATTGTTTGAAGGAGAGTACACTATCCAGGATTCATTTATTGTTCAGATGTCTTTTCCAAAGTATGAGAAAACAGGAGTAAATTCAATAATGAATATCTGCAATTCAAACCAATTTAACTACAGGTCAAGGATGTCTTTCTTATCTATTATCACAAACATCCCAGTTGCCTCCATCTAAAAATTTGTTTTAAAAGTTAAGACACAATTAATTATACCTTATTAATTCACTCAAAAGCGAAAAAAAAAAAATGTACCACCCAGCATACAAAAGTTACACATTGGAAGTATATATGTAGGGCCAGGTGCGGTAGTGCATGCCTGTGATCCCCGCACTTTGGGAGGCTGAGGCAGGTGGATCATGAGGTCAGGAGTTCAAGACCAGCCTGGCCAAGATGGTGAAACCCCATCTCTACTAAAACTACAAAAAATTACCTGGGCACAGCGGCAGGCGCCTATGATACCAGCTGCTCGGGAGGCTGAGGCAAGAGAATCGCTTGAACTCGGAGGGCAGAGGTTGCAGTGAGCAGAGATTGTGCCACTGCAGTCCAGTCTGAGTGACACAGTGAGGATCAAAAAAAAAAAAAAGTGTATATATTATATATTTCCTTTGTTTTTTGAGATAGAGTCTCTCTTTGTTGCCCAGGCTGGAGTTAAATGGCGTGATCTCGGCTCACTGCAACCTCCTCCTTTCAGGTTCAAGTGATTCTCCTGCCTCAGCCTCCCAAGTAGCTGGGATTACAGGTGTGAGCCACCATGTCTGGCCAATTTTTGTATTTTTAGTAGAGATGGTGTTTCACCATGTTGGCCAGGCTGGTCTTGAACTCCTGAACAAAGGTGATCTGCCTGCCTCGGCTTTCCAAAGTGCTGGGATTACAGACTTGAGCCACTGCGTCTGGCCTCAGAATTTGTTTTTTATCCTGAAATCAGCAGGAAGCACTGAAGGGGTTTTGTTTTGTTTTGTTTTGTTGAGACAAAGTGTCCTGTGCCCCAGACGAGTATAGTGGCACGATCTGTGCTAATTGCAGCCTCCCCCTCCCAGCTTCCAGAAATTCCCCCGCCTCAGCCTTCCAGGTAGCTGGGATTACAGGCATGCGCCGCTACGCCTGGCTAATTTTTGTATTTTTAGTAGAGATGACGTTTCACCATGTTAGCCAGGCTGATCTCAAACTCCTGACCTCAGGTGATCTGACGTCAGGTGATCGCCCTCCTCGGCCTCCCAAAGTGCTGGGATTACAGGCATGAGCCACTGCACCCAGCCTAGGCACTGAAGGGTTTAAGCAGAATTGGGAACACGATCATGTTTGCATTTCGAAAATAACTCATACTGAGGTTTGAAGAACAATTTGAAATGGGGGAAGACTGGCCATTTGAATACACTTTCCATTAAATCTTGTTGACTACCTCTCAGATCTGTTTTTAGTGTTTTGTGGGTTTTTTGGTTTTGTTTTGTTTTGAGACAGTCTCGCTCTTTGACCCAGGCTGGAGTGCAGCGGTACAGTGACAGCTTACTGCAGCCTCCGGAAGCATGTGCCACCACACCCAGCTAAGTTTTCTGTTTTTTGTAGATACAGAGTCTCACTGTGTTGCCCAGGCTGGTCTTGAACTGTGCACAAGCAATCCTCCTGCCTCAGCCTCCCAAAATGTTGGAATTACAGGCATGAACCACTGTGCCCAGCCAAGATCTGTTTCTTATTTTTATTTCCACTACTAAGAACTTAGAGTGACACCTCTTTGTCTTCTGCCTTGTTTTGGTAGCCTTTTGTTTCTCCCTTCCCACTCATATTTTCCAGACTCTTGCCAGAGTTCAACTTCTAAGATGCAGATTTGATCATTATATTCCCCTGCTTTAAAAACCTTCACTGGTTCCCCCATTCCTTTCTAGATGGAATCCAAGTATCTTAATCACGTAATACATCCCCTGATGTTTTTGTTTGTTTGTTTGTTTGTTTGAGAGAGTCTCACTGTCATCCAGGCTGGAGTGCGGTAGCACGATCTTGGCTCACTGCAACCTCCGAGCCTATGACTTTCTACACTTTATTCTCACATTCTGATCTTGCCTTCACATGTTCTGTTCTGTGGGTGTTCACACCCATACTTGATTGTGAACTTATAGATAGATGTCGTGAGGAACAGATGTGGGGAGATCGTGTCAAGAAGTGTTTGCAAACATGAGCCTAATTTAATTGAACCTTGGGATTTTGGAAACCTTGAGACAGTGAATAATGGAGCTAGAATGATAGGCGTCAGTCTATATCACGAAAAGGAATTTTTTTTTTTTTTTTTGAAATGGAGTCTCACTCTGTGGCACGATCTCAGCTCACTGCGACCTCCTCCTCCTGGGTTCAAGCAATTCTCCTGCGTCAGCCCCCCAAGTAGCTGGGACTAGACACGCACCACCATGCCCAGCTAATTTTTTTTGTATTTTTAATAGAGACGGGGTTTCACCATGTTGGCCAGGATGGTCTCGATCTCTTGACCTCATAATCCGCTTGCCTAGGCCTCCCAGAGTGCTGGGATTATAGGCATGAGCCACTGCGCCCCACCGGGATAAGGACTTTGTACTTTATTTATTAAAAATCGGGAAGTAAAGTTTTTGAGCAGGATTGCGGTAGAACTAACCCAGTAGTTGTGCGTAGCATGTATTTGGAGCGGGGAAATAATTAGGTAGCTATAGTGGGGCCTGAAACAAATCGAAATGGCGAGAATGGGGATAAATAGGAGAAACATTTCAGAGGTAGCATCAGTAGATCAGTAGTCTGTTAGGGAATGTTAGTACTGCTCCAAGAAATAGAGAAATCAGGAAGTGAGCAGTTATGGATGGAAAGATGATCTCTTGTTTTGGACTTGGTGAGTTTCTACCTACAGGAATGTGTTTATTAATGTTAGCATTTTTTTGTTTGTTTGTTTTGAGACAGGGTCTCATTCTATCACTCAGGCTGCAATGCAGTGACTTGATCTTGGCTCACAGCAATCTCTGCTTCCTGGGGGTGCTTAAGCAATCCTCCCACCTCAGCCTCCTAAGTATGGTTGGGACCATAGGCGTGTGTCACCACGCCTGGCTAATTTTTGTATTTTTTCTAGAGATGAGATTTCGCCATGTTGCCCAGGCTGGTCTCAAACTCCTGGCCTGAAGTGATGCACCCACCTCGGCCTCCCCCCAAAGTGCTGGGATTACAGGTGTGAACCACTGTACCCTGGCATCCAGCCACTAATTTATTTGTTTGTTTATTTATTTATTTTTTGAGACAGTCTTGCTCTGTTGCCCAGGCTGGAGTGCAATGGGACAATCTTGGCTCACTTCAACCTCTGCCTTCCCCACGCTCAAGCAATTCTTTTGTGCCTGAGCCTCCTAAATAGCTGGGATTACTGGTGCGTGTCAGCATACCTGGCTAATTTTTTTTATTTTTAGTAGAGAGAGGGTTTCACCATGTTAGCCAGCCTGGTCTTGAACTTCTGACCTCAGATCTGTCCACCTGCCTAGGCTTCCCAGAGTGCTGGGATTTAGGCATGAGCCACCACACTTGGTTGCTAATTGTTTCTTGTTTGTTTGTTTGTTTGTTTTGAGACAGAGTCTCGCTCTGTCACCCAGGCTGGAATGCAATGGCACAATCTCAGCTCACTGCAACCTCTGCTCCCGGCTTCACGCCATTTTCCCATCTCAGACTCCCAAGTAGCTGGGACTACAGGCGCCCACCACCGCGCCTGGCTAATTTTGTTTTTGTATTTTCAGTAGAGATGGGGTTTCACCATGTTAGCCAGGATTGTCTCTATCTCCTGATCTCGTGATCCACCCGCCTCAGCCTCCCAAATTGCTGGGATTACAGGCGTGAGCCATTGCACCCAGCCCACTAATTGGTTTTTTAATGTTAGACATCCTCACATTTTTGGGATACATCTCACTTGTCTGTAGTGCTTTTTTGTTTAATATCTTGCTGGATTCAGTTGGTTGATTTTTTTTTTTTTTTTTTTTTTTTTTTTTTTTTTTGTTTGCTACGGAGTCTCCCTCTGTTGCACAGGCTGGAGAGTGGCGCAATCTTGGCTCGCTGCAACCTCTGCCTCCCAGGTTCAAGCTACTCTCCTGCCTCGGCCTCCTGAGTAGCTGGAATAACAGGTGTGCACTACCATGTCCTTCTAATTTTTGTGTTTTTAATAGAGACAGGACTTCACCATGTTAACAAAGTTGGTCTTGAATTCCTGACGTCAAGCAATCTACCCACCTTGGCCTCCCAAAGTGCTGGGATGACAGGCCAATTTTTTTTTTTTTAAGGCTATTTCTGTTTATGTTTATAAGAAATATTGGCTTGTAGTTGTCTGGTCTTGTAGTTTTTTTTGGTTTGCTCTATTCTTGACCAGTTTTGTTTTTGTTGTTGTTGTTGTTGTTTTTGAGACGGAGTCTCGCTCTGTTGCCCAGGCTGGAGTACAGTGGCGCGATCTTGGCTGACTGCAACCTCGGCCTCCTGGGTTCACACCATTCTCCCGCCTCAGACTCCCAAGTAGCTGGGACTACAGGTGCCCGCCACCACGCCCGGCTAATTTTTTTGTATTTTTAGTAGAGACGGGGTTTCACCGTGTTAGCCAGGATGGCCTCAATCTCCTGACCTTGTGATCCGCCCACCTCGGCCTCCCAAAGTGCTGGGATTACAGGCTTGAGCCACCGCGCCCGGCCCCAACCAGTTTTGAAATTAAGGTTGTATTCGCCTCAAATAATTATTTGCTTATTCGCAAATAGTTTTTTCTGTTGTCTGGAACAGATTAACCTTTCATTATTATTATTATTACTTTTAGAGAGAGTCTCATTATGTTGCCTAGGCTGGTCTTGAACTGGGCTCAAATGAACCTCCGCCTGAGCCTCCCAAAGTGCTGGGATTACAAGCACAAGCCACTGTGCCCGGCCTAATCGTTTTAAAATTTGTAGTGTTTTTGCTTGCTTTCTTTTTCCTGATTAGTTTTGCCATAGATATGCTTATTTCTCTTTTCACAGAACCAACTTGTATTTTTATTGATCTTTCTAGTGCTTGTTTGTTAGTTTTTGCTGGTTATATATTTTGTTTGTTTGTTTGTTTTTGAGACAGAGTCTCGCTCTGTCACCCAGGCTGGAATGCAATGGCACAATCTCAGCTCACTGCAACCTCCGCTTCCCGGGTTCACGCCATTCTCCTGCCTCAGCCTCCCAAGTAGCTGGGACTACAGGTGCCTACCACCATGTCCAGCTAATTTTGTTTTTGTATTTTTAGTAGAGATGGGGTTTCACCACGTTAGCCAGGATGGTCTTGATCTCCTGACCTCGTGATCTACCCGCCTTGGCCTCCCAAAGTGCTGGGATTACAGGCGTAAGCCACTGTGCCCGGCCTTGCTGGTTATATTTTTATTTCTTTGGGTTTACTTTGTTCTTTTTCTAACTTCTTGAGGTGATTGATGGCCTCATTAATGTTTTGTCCTTTCTTCCTATACATTTAGTACTGTAACTTTGCCTTTAAAAGTACTATTTTGGTTTTATCCCATAAATTTTCTGTGTTGTATTCATTGTTACTCAGTTCTGTACTTTTTCCCAGTTTCCATTAGTATTTGTTCTTTGACCTATGTTTATAAATTTCCAAATGACCTGGGAAATTTGAAAGTGCGTTGTTAACTTTGAATTTTATTGGGCTAGATGGAAGCATTTCTTTGATATTTGTGGAAACTTGCACTGCGGCTTGATACATAGACAATATTTATAAATGCGCTTAAAAGTAGTGTAAGTTCTCTTAATTGTGGTATGCAGGGTTATAAAATTATCAGATCAAACCTGTCAATTTTGTATTCAGAGCTATATGCTTAAATTTCTTTAACTGCTTGATCATTAGAGAAAATAATGTTAAAATCTCTATTGTAACAATTTGTTTTTTTTGCTTTTTGGTTTTGGGGGGTTTTTTTTAAGCAGAGAATCGCTCTGTTGCCTAAGCTGGATGGAGTGCAGTGGTATGATCTTGGCTCACTGCAACCTCTGCCTCCTAGGTTCAAGTGAGTCTCCTGCCTCAGCCTCTAGAATAGCTGGCATTATAGACACCCACCACCACGCCCAGCTAATTTTTGTATTTTTAGTAGAGATGAGGTTTCACTGTGTTGGTCAGGCTGCTCTTGAACTCCTGACCTCAAGCAGTCCACCGCCTCCATCCATCCCAAAGTGCTGGGATTACAGGCATGAGCCACTGCACCAGCCCAATTGTGACTGAGTTATCTTTATCAGTCAGAGTTCAGTCAGTAGGCAAAAACCATATAGTAATTTGAAAGGGAAAGTTTAGTATAAAGAATTATTGGCCGGGTTCCGTGACTCACGCCTGTAATCCTAGCACTTTGGGAGTCCAAGGCGGGCGGATCACCTGAGGTCAGAAGTTTAAGATCAGCCTGGCCAACATGGCGAAACCCCGTCTCTACTAAAATATAAAAATTAGCCAGTCCTGATGGGAGGTGCCTGTAATCCCAGCTGCTCCGGAGGCTGAGACGAGAGAATCGCTTGAATCGAGGAGACGGTGTTTGCAGTGAGCCGAGATCGCGCCACCGCACTCCAGCCTGGGCGGCTGAGCGAGACTCCGAATCACAAAGGAAAAGGCCAGGTGCAGTGGCTCACGCCTGTAATCCCAACACTTTGGGAGGCCGAGGCGGGCAGATCACGAGATCAGGAGATCGAGACCATCCTGGCTAACGCAGTGAAACCCCGTCTTTACACAAAAGATTAGCTGGGTGTGGTGGTGGGCGCCTGTAGTCCCACCTACTCGGGACGCTGAGGCAGGAGCGTGAACCCGGGAGGCGGAGCTTGTAGTGACCCGAGATCGCAACACTGCACTCCAGCATGGGAGACAGAGCGAGACTCCGTCTCAAAAAAAAATATTGTTGACAGGATTGAAGTAACTAGTAATTGTCTAGTAATAGTTAAGGAATAACTGAAAAATATAGGAATATCAGATATAGGGAGCAGCTATGACCGCTGGGGTTTTGATCATCCAAAGAAGAGCTGTGTTCCCTCACTCTAAGGATGGGATCCAGACCTCATGGAAAGAGCATTGCTGGGGTCAGCTGGACGGTGGAGACATTGCTAAGTGTTTTGCTCTGTTCTAAATCGGCCAGAGGAGTTGTATAGGGAAGCGCCTGGGTGCTAGAGGATCTATGAGTTGGAGAAGCTGCCCTTTCCGTGAACCTAGCAGGAGGAAGCCGTGTTCTGCAGGAGCCAATCATAATAGGAACCTGATGTACAGGAAGTGAGCCTGTGGAAAACCGCCCTGCAGGAACCGAATGCTGGGACAGCAGGCTTTGTAGGAGCCTTGCTAGCCAGATGCACCGAAACTAGGGAAAGAATCCCCCTTCCTCTTCCATTGTTCCTCCACCATTCTGATAAGGTTTAACCTTGTGCCAGTTAGCAAAGGAGAAATATCTACAAGGCCTAGCTCCTTTATCACAGAAGTATGGATTTGGAATTGAGAGGCATAACTGTCACAGTCCCTTTAAGTACTTTTTTCCTTTTCCTACAGCCTAGGAAGCTAAGAACCTTTAACTTTTTCATGTGTACACAGTGAGAAGCCACACACATATAACTTCTTTTGATGACTTCTCTATATTATTGTATATGTTCTCAGAAATTTTGAAGTACTATTAATGCATCATGTGATACAATTAAGAAATGAGCAGTTACTTCTTAATTTATAAATAATCTTTTTTTTTTTTTTTTTTTTTTGAGACGGAGTCTCGCTCTGTCCCCCAGGCTGGAGTGCAGTGGCCGGATCTCAGCTCACTGCAAGCTCCGCCTCCCGGGTTTACGCCATTCTCTTGCCTCAGCCTCCCGAGTAGCTGGGACTACAGGCGCCCGCCACCTC